GATCTATCTATTATGACATTATCAGCTACATAGTCAAGAGCCATATCATTTATTAAAGCTCTATCTAACCAAGATGATAATATTAAACACGAGAATCAAACAAGAAATTCTTACGCAAGAGTCAAATGAAAATTTAATCAATAATAACAATGACAATACTCATGGGTGTGGAAGTAGATGACAATAATAATAATAACACTGTTGTCATTGTTTTCACCACTATCACCAACACCACCACAACATTACGCCAATCCTAATCAAATTGGCTAATTTTCGTTTTCATTAATAAAAATAATTTTGTTTTTTGCTTTTTTTCAAGAAATAATAAATTTTTTAATTGTACAAAAAAATAACATTTTACAAGTATCGTCTATTTGTATAATATATAATATTTTTCTAGTAAACCTATCTATTTATCTGTCTATCAATCTATCTATATCAATATATAAATAATATTTTCACAAAAATATTTATTGTTATTATTTATTAATTATTAATAATAATTTAATCTTCTATTACAACACTTGCAAGATCATCTTTCCAATGTTCTTCCATAGCAGTTAACAAAACACCAGCATTCACCACCACTTCTTCAACAAAAGCCAACACCATATAACTTTGAAAATCACCAAATTCCCTTAATTTATTACTAACAACTATTTGAGCATAGTTATCGATAGGTTTTTTCCAATATGTATTAATACCTAAATTTAATTCATTCTTATTATTATTATGCTTACTATCATCATCATCATCGTTGCTATCTATATTGCTATTGCTAATAATAATATCATCATCTTCACTACTAATACTAATACTACCATTGTTATTATTATTAATGATAATCTCATTGCTAACAGTATTAACACCTTTAAGTATCTCTATTAGATTTAATTTACCACTTTCCAAAACAGTTAAGCCCAACTCCAAGTTCATAACCTTGGAAGAAAAATCATTATTATCATGATTACTATTACCATCAATATTATCATCATCATCACCACCATCATCATGACTCTCATTATTTATTATTAAAAAAGTCAATCTACCTTTAGAAACAAAAATAGCGTTATGTTCTGAACCTGAACCACTATTGCTACTGCTATTACTATTACTATTGTTGTTGTTATCGTTGAGAGATATGATATGTACAGAAACATTTTTAATAATTTGTGAAGCATCAAAAATTGGTAACCAAGTAGAACATAAATTTATAAAAGCAAATAATAAATTTTTTAATTATATTTATGTACGTGTGTATGTAAAAAGATATGGCAACTTATTAAGAAAGAGAATGATTTACCTAAAGTTATTTACATGTCAACTTTAAAAAGACATACTGGTACTGTTAATGTAGTTCGTTTTTCACCAAAAGGTAAGTTTTTTAAATACGATCTACCCAATAACGCGTTTTATTTATCCATTAATTCTATTAAAAATATTATAGGTGATATTTTAGCAACAGCTGGTGATGGTAAGTAATTTTATATTATCATAATATGTACTGTA